CTGGCGCCCGGCTTACAACTACAACAACAACAAAACACAAACAAACAATCAACCAAACAAGCAAAAAACAAACAACCACAACAACAACAACAACAACAAGAGTAATGTTAAGACTGTTCGCTCGTACGTGCTCGCGTGCCATTCAACACGCATGTCCCAAACCCTCGATACCCGCCCTCTTCGTGTTCGATCGTACCCCCTTGGGGGTATATACCTTTCTTACCTGCAACGCATATTTCGTGCAGCCCCTGAGGCAGGGGAAGAGAAGACCGATGGAAGGAAGGGACATTGGGGAAAGAGGACGAGGGAGCACGAGAGAAAGTAGCAGGAGGGGGGTCAAGAGCAGAAAACACGGGCCAAAACCAGACGGGCAAATCGGGCGGATAGACCCTAACAGGCGGGTCAGGAAGGCGGGCCCAGGCGGCCAGGTCGAGCAGGCGGGTTGCTGAAGCGCGCGTCCTTCATAATGGATCGCGAGGAAGTTTCGGGCGATAGCGCGGTTCCCAGATAAACCGTGAGGAAATCCACGGCGATGAGTGTCGAGGGCGCGGAACGTCCCCACAATCTACAGGAATCGCGCTCTCGCGTGGGATGTCCACGCCATTGATTCAGACGCCGCGCCCTCGACACTCAGGAATCACGCTCTCGCTGTGGACCTCCTCACGGTATATTTGAAAATTGCGCTACTATTGCTCGAGACTTCATCGCGATTCATGCAGGACGCACGCTTCAGCAACCCGCCCGCCCCTTGTCCCTTCCTTCCATCTGTCCTCTCTTCCCCTGCCGTAGGGACTGCACGAAATACACGCTGCAGGTACACTCCCCAGGGGGAACAATCGAAGACGAATAGGGCGGGTATCGAGGGTTGGGGATATACGTGTTGAATGGCACGCGAGCAGACAACAGCGAACACTATTAAAAGGAGTGGTGTTGGTATTCGTGGTGTTGGTGTTATTATTGCCATTGTTGTTGTTATTGGTGTCGTTGAACTCTCATTTTTTGATTTTTATATATATATATATATATATATATATATATATATATATATATATATATATATAAAAAAAAAAAAAAAAAAAAAAAAAAAAAAAAAAAAAAAAAAAAAAAAAAAAAAAAAAAAAAAAAAAAAAAAAAAAAAAAAAAAAAAAAAAAAAAAAACTATTGTTGGTCCCCCCCACCGGTGCACATTGATTTGTTCAATTGAAGTGCCCCCCCCCGGGGCTCGCACCTTGTTTTTTGTCCAGAAAAGTCTTCCTGCTCAAACTGGCCCCCTGGCCCCCGGGTTACAACAACAACGGTTCCCGCATGAGACTTCCTCACAATTTAGCCAGGACCCCCGTTCCCGCCTGAGACATCCTCGCATTTTATTCAAGAATCGCGCTCTCGCTTCGGATTTCCTTACGATTTATTCAGGAATCGCTCCTCCTGCGCTCTGGAGTCGCGCTCTCGCTGGAGACTTGCTTGCAATTTACTGTAGAATAGCGCCCTTGCGTTGGAATTTCTTGCAATCTACTCCAGCGCCGCGCTCCCGACACCCAGGCACCCAGGAGTCGCGCTCACGCTTAGGACTCCTTCACAGAATACCTAGGAATCGGGATCTCGCTGCCCTTCGTGGCCCCGTTGCAGCCCTTCGTGGCCCCCTCGCTTTGTTTCGTGGCCACGTTGCGGCCCTTCGTGGCCCCCTCGCTTTGTTTCGTGGCCCCGTTGCAGCCCCTCGTGGCCTCCTCGTTGCCCTTCGTGTCCCCTTCGTGGCCCCCTCGCTTTGTTTCGTGGCCCCGTTTGCAGCCCTTCGTGGCCCCCTCGCTGCCCCTCGTGGCCCCGTTGCAGCCCTTCGTGGCCCCGTTGCAGCCCTTCGTGGCCCCCTCGCTGCCCTTCGTGGCCCCGTTGCAGCCCTTCGTGGCCCCCTCGCTGCGCTTCGTGGCCCCGTTGCAGCCCTTCGTGGGCCCTTCGTCGCTGCCCTTCGTGGCCTCGCTTCGTGGCCCCGTTGCAGCCCTTCGTGGGTCCCCCTTCGTGGCTTTGCAGTGGCCCCGTTGCAGCCCCTCGTGGCCTTTTCGTTGCCCTTCGTGGCCCCGTTGCCGCCCTCCGTGGCCCCCTCGCTTTGTTTCGTGGCCCCGTTGCAACCCTTCGTGGCCCCCTCGCTGCCCTGCGTTGCCCCGTTGCAGCCCTTCGTGGCCCCGTTGCAGCCCTTCGTGGCCCCCTCGCTGCCCTTCGTGGCCCCGTTGCAGCCCTTCGTGGCCCCCTCGCTTTGTTTCGTGGCCCCATCTATGTATGCCCTTCGTGGCCCCCTTTTCGCTCGCGCCCGTGATGGCCCCATATGCATGCCCTTCGTGGCCCCGCTGTCGCCCTTCGTGGCCCCCTCGCTGCCCTTCGTGTCCCCGTTGCTGCCCTCAGTGGCCCCGTCCGTACCCTCCGCGGCCCAACATACGTATGCCCTTGGTGGCCCCCCCTCGTTCGCGCCCGTTGTGGCCCCATGTGCATGCCCTTCGTGGCCCCGCTGTCGCCGTTTGTGGCCCCCTCATTGTCCTACGTGGCCCAAGTGCTACCCTCAGTGGCCCCATCGTTGCCTTCTGTGGCCCCGCATTATCTGCCCTTCGTGGCCCACGCTCGTTCGCGCTCTTCGTGGCCCCATACGCATTCCCTTCGTGTCCCCGCTGTCGCCCTTCGTGGCCTACTTCGTGTCCTTCGTGGTTCTGCTGTCGTTCTCTCTCGCTCTCGCTTTCGCTCGTCGTCGTCGTCGCCGTCGCCGTCGTTGCCGTCGTCGTCGACGTCGTCGTCGTCGTGGTCGGTCCCCTGTCCGTCCCTCTTGGGGTCGGGTCGACGGTCCGCGGCCGCCCCGCCGATCAGCGCTGCCGCTGGCCAGGCCGACGGTCCGCGGCCGCCCCGCCGCTTGCCGGGGCCCGGCCTGCAGGGAAGAAAGGTATACCCCCCAAAAGGGGTTCGATCGAAGACGAAAAGTGCGGGTATCGAGGGTTTGGGAAATTCGCGTTATTCGACACTCGAGCAGATAAGGGCGAACAGTCTCAAAATGATTGTTGCTGCTGTTGTTGTTGAACTCCCATCTCTAAACAATCAACAAAAAAAACATTGATGACCCCCCTTTTCTGGTAACCATTGTATGTTTCAATTGGCATGCTCTTCCCGGGGCTCGCACCCTCTTTTTAGAAGGGGCACGGAGATGTCACCAAACTGTGTCCCTGGCCCCCGGTTTACAACCTCAGCGGTTCCCGCCTGATACTTCCTCAACATGGATTCCCAAATCGCGCCCTCCCGCGGGTCTTCCTCACAACATATATAGGAATCGCGCTCTCACGTGGGACTTCGTTGTCATGTATTCAGACGCCGCGCCCTCGACACTCAGGAATCACGCTCTCGCTGTGGATTTCCTCACGGTTTATCTGGGAACCGCGATCTCGCTCCAGACTTCCTCGCGATTCATACAAGACGCACGCTTCAGCAACTCGCCTGCCCCTTGTCCCGTACATCTGTCCTCTCTTCCCCTGCCTTAGGGGCTGCACGAAATACACGTTGCAGGTAAAAATGTATACTCCGAAATGGGTATGGACGAAGACGAAGAGGGCGGGTATCGAGGTTTGGGGATATACGTGTTGAATTGAATGGCACGCGGACAGATGAGAGCGAGCGAACACTGTGTTGTCGATGGCACGCAAGCGGATACGAGCAAACAGTATTAAAATGATTGGTGCTGTTGGTGCTGGATTCTCATATCTAAAAAGTGAGCCTGACGAAGGACCCAACCATATGCAATTGTAGGTACCGTCGCTGTATCCACCGCCTTCGGTGGAGATTCTTCTGGGGCCACGAAACGTGTGAGGGATATGCCAAATGGGCGCGGTGGGAGCATGCGACCGCTGGCATCTGGGCCTTCGGTGGGGCTCCCTGTGGGGCCGCGAGACGTGAGAGGGACCGTACCAGAATGGGTGCGGTGGGCGCATGCGAGCGCTGATGTTTGGGCCTTCGGTGAAGCTCCCTATGGGGCCGCGAGACGTGTGAGCAGTGTGCCAAAATGGGCGCGGTGGGCGCATGCGAGCGCTGAAATTTGGGCCTTCGGCGAAACTCCCTATGGGAATACGAAACGTGTGAGGGGAGTGCCAAAATGGGCGCGGTGGGCGCATGCGAGCGCTGGCATTTGAGCCTTCGGTGGGGCTGCCTGGGGGGCCACGCAACGTGTGAGGGAGCGTACCAGAATGGGTGCGGTGGGCGCATTTGAGCTCTGGCATTTGGGCCTTCGGTGAAGCTCCCTATGGGGCCGCGAGACGTGTGAGGGGTGTGCCAAAATGGGCGCGGAGGGCGCATGCGAGCGCTTGCATTTCAGCCTTCGGTGGGGCTCCCTGGGCCACGAAACGTGTGAGGGGGCGTACCAGAATGGGTGAGGTGGGCGCATGCGAGCGCTGGCATTTGAGCCCACGCTGCAGCGGGAGCACCACTCTGAAAGAACGAAAACGATCAGCTTGCAAAAAAAGAACACACAAACTTCCAGAAACCCTGTATATACATATATATATAATATATAGTATTTCCCCACACACACACACACACACACACACACACACAAAAAAACAAAAAAAAAAAAAAAAAAAAAAAAAAAAAAAAAAAAAAAAAAACGCGGAGAGGGCCTGCTATCTTCTGGACGGAGTCAGGGGGGAGAGGAGAGTAGTATTCACAATGTGTGCTTGTAGACGGGGGAAGGGCGCGAGGGATGGGGAGAAGGAGGGGGAGGGCGAGAGGGAGAGTGAGAGATTGTAGAGGGGGGAGGGCGCGAGGGAGGGGGAGGGCGCGAGGGAGGGAGGGGGAGAGGAAGAGGGCGGGGGGGAGGAGAGGGAGGGGAGGGGGAGGGGGAGGGGGGGGGGGGGGGGCTTGGAGGGAGGGGGGAGAGGGAGGGGGAGGGGGGCCAGCACGCTCCCTCCTGCCTCCTTCGCCCCTCTCCCGCCTCCTCCTGCGGGGCGCGGCGGGGGGCGAGGGGGGGGGGGCGCGGCGCGCGCCTCCTTCTCGCTCTCCTGGAGCCGGATGCGCTGCCAGTCGCCCCACCTGGCCCCGCCCGGGGGGAGGGCCCGCGGAGGGGGAGGGGCAGCGAAGAGCGCGAGCCCGAGAGCGCGGGCGCGGGCGAAGAGCGAGGAGCGAGGAGCGAGGAGCGAGGAGCGAGGAGCGAGGAGCGAGGAGCGAGGAGCGAGGAGCGAGGAGCGAGGAGCGAAGAGCGAAGAGCGAAGAGCGAAGAGCGTGTGACGGGGAGGGCGGGGCGTAGAAAACAGGAGCGAGATCGGGAGCGAGAGTGAGAGGGGCAGTCGGAGCGAGGGCGCAGGCGAGGGCGAGGGCGAGACAGCGAGGGCATAGGATGAAATAGCAGAAGTGACAGCAATAACGCAAGTCCGAGGTAGAGCAATAACGCAAGCGATAGCATCAGAACGAAAGAGAAGATAAGGAGTGATGGCGCGAAATAGGTCTGAAGTGGAGGAAAGAGTGGGAGACGATGCGAAAGTGAGAGTGAAAGTGCGACTTGGGCGAGAAATGCAATGCTATTCAGGAATAGAGTAACAGCGAGAACAATCCGCCTCCGTGTAGATCCGCCTCCGTGCACCCTGGCACGTTGAGGCGTGATAGAACGCGCTTCAGTTGGCACCCAGTATCTACCAAGAATCACAGGGTTGGTCCCATGAAGCTCCCAAAAGGCCCATAAAATTCCCCAAGACGATCTCCAGTAGGACCATGCCCAAACATTGAATACCCTTACATGTTTCAATATGTTTCGCTGTGCACGCTCTTCGGTAAATTGCGGTCCCCGATAAACCAAAATTGCCCACTGAGAGCCCCAGCACAGCTCCGAGACGACCCAGGACCGCTCCAAGACAGCCCCAAGCTGGCCCAAGACGGCCTCCAGAGGGATCCAAGACTGCCTGAGACATTCCAAAACCCCCATAGAAGGCCCAAGAGGGCACAAAAAAAATCCCTCGGTGCTCGAAGCTTCGCCATCAGGAGTGCTGGACTGGCAAGTTCTGTAAAATGAAGGCATTATCTAACTGGGTTTCTACAATTTTCGCAGGGCCACCATACATCCGACTAGCATCGAAATGCTGGCACCAAGACCCTTCCTGGCGATCCCTGGGCATCCCAACGTCTCCCTGGCGGTCTCCAGGGCCTCCAGGATGACCTAGATGGCTTCCAAGATGCCCGAAGGCCACCAAAACCGCCAGGATGGCTCAAGATCGCCGCGAGAATGGCCAACAGCCCCGAAGAGGCGCCACAAGACCCCAAGGGGCGTCCAAAAAGCCCAGAGGCTTCCAGGAGACCCTCCAGAAGGTCCCTAAGAAGTGAAAAGCTGGTAAACGCCTTGGATGTGTCCTCTCATCAGCCCATCACTGATTTTCGTCCCGAGTGGCCGCGACAAGCCTTACGTTGCCCCCATGACTCCCCTCAAGACTTGCCCCCAAGAAACTCCGAGCGGCCCACAGAAGGTCCCGAGCCGAGCAAGGGCCGCCAGAAGAAGCTCCAAGGCAGCCCAGCATCGCCCCGGGACGATCCCCGGACGGCCCGGCTCATGGCCAGTAAGGGCTGGGCACGACGCACACACTATAAGATCTCTCGATGCGCGCGTCGCCCCTGGGGGGGCGGCGCACACATCGTACCAGCACGTTGGGGTGGCGCCGCGGGAGGGTAGGACCGACCGTCGAGAGTCGACGTGGTGGGGGAGCGCGGCCAGCCTGTGGCACCGGGAACCGGCGGGGCGAAGGAGTGCTGGAGGCGCGCGGGAGCAGAGCAGGGAGAGGGCCAGAGGAGCTGCCGTGGAATTCGGAGGAGGACTGGAGGGGGGGAGGCGAGAGCGGGCAAGGAGGAGGACGAGGATGGAAGGAAGCAGGAGGGCGAGGAAGAAAGAGGAGGAGGTAGGGGGAAGAGGAGGAGGAGGGAAGAAGAGGTAGGAGGAGGAGGAGGAGGAGGAGGAGGAGGAGGAGGAGGAGGAGGAGGAGGAGGAGGAGGAGGAGGAGGAGGAGGAGGCAGGAGGCAGGAGGCACGAGGAGGAGGAGGGAAGAAAAGAGGATCTGCTCGCCGAGCCCACGGCCCAGCACCCGCCCCGCCGCGTGGTGCGGCTCTCCGCCAGCAGCGTCCAGCTGGTGCGGTTCCCGCAGTTGCGCCCAGGGCAGGCCACCGGCATCGTGCACTGGGCGGACGCAGGGGCTGGCCGGAAGTCGTCGCCCTCCTCCGCCCTGTTACCATGATCATCCCTCGTCATCCTCCTCCTCCTCCTCCTCCTCCTCCTCGTCTTCCTCCACCTCCTTGTCATCATCATCATCATCATCATCATCATCATCATCATCATCATCATCATCATCATCAGCAGCAGCAACAGCAGCATCATCATCATAAGCATCCTCATCACCAGCATCATCATCATCAAAATCATAATCCTTATCATCACCAAACATCGTCGTCATCGTGATCGTCGTCATGACGCCGTCGCCGTCGTTGTCATCGTCGAGGTCATCAGCATCAGCATCAGCATCAGCATCAGCATCATCATCATCGTCATCATCAACATGAACATCATCACCATCATCATCACCATCATCATCATCGTCATCATCACCGTCAGCAGTATAATCACCACCATCATCACCATCGCCATCACCATCACCATCATTCTCATCATCAGCATCATCATCAGCATCAGCATCAGCATCAGCATCAGCATCAGCATCAGCATCAGCATCATCATCATCATCATCATCATCATCATCATCATCATCATCATCATCATCATCATCATCATATTCCTCATCATCACCATTAACAGCATTACCATCATCATGCGGGGAAGCGCCCGCTGGAACACTCCCTTGGGTAGTGATAGGTTGCGCGCGAGGCGATATAATCGTATCTCCAGTCGGCCGTAACTCGCGAGTCGGTCGGCAGGGCCAGCCGTGAGGCCAGCCTCGGCCTGTGGTGCGGCTCCATCTCCCTGCATGTTCGCTGGTCGCCTCGGTTTCGTCGCCGCAGGCCGCCTCCCGCTTTCGAGAACTGCAGGTAAAGAGCTCCATCGGGCCAGAATATCGATTCTTTCTGCATACGCCTGGAAGCAGAAGCCGCCATCACTAACACCAGATACAAAGGGGCCGATTGCGCTGAACGAAAACAATATCACCATCATCATCATCAGCATCATCATCACCATCATCATCAGCACCATCATCAGCACCATCAGAATCATCATCATCATCATCAGCAGCATCATCAACATCATCATAAACCTCATCATTGGCAGCATCATCAGCATCATCATAATCAGCCGAAGCAGCATTATCATCACCCTCACCATCGCCATCACCACCATCATCATCATAATTGCCAACATCATCAACATCATCACCATCATCCGCATCATCAGAGTCATCATCATAATCATCATCGCAATAATCATCGTCATCATAATCATCATCAGAAACAGCATCAGCAGCACCAGCAGCAGCACCACCACCATCATCGTCAGCATCACCAGCATCAGAAGTATCCTCATCATCGTCAGCAGCAGAGCCGCATCAGCTGAGCTGCACTAGAAGGTGCAAGACCGCTTTCCCAAGTCGGCAATGGGACCCGAGCTCCAACGCGACCCACACCGGAACTCAAACTCATTCGACTGTCCGAATGAATCGAGCAAGAGAGCAGGGCGGGCGGCGGGCGTCACGGACTGCATCGAACTGCAACTCCACGAAAGAGGCAGCACCGAGAGCCCCAGAGACAGCAAGCGGATAAAGGAAGAGCACGACAGCGAGGGAGGCAGGAAGCAACGAGAGTGGACGGGGACGAGAGAGAGGCAGGTGGATTTTTGTTTGTGGCAAAGGCTTAATGTCATGTGACAAGAGAGACGAGGAGGAGGATTGAGCACGACAAAAATATGGCAGGACGGGGAGAAAAGAGGGGCAGGAGGATCGGCAGGCGGACCCTGAGGGGCGGGCCGGGCGGACCTTGACGGGGCATTGAAGTGAACTTCAGTAAGTTGTGAAGACGCCTCAGGCGAGGGGGCCAAATCGAGCCTCGACTTTCTCCGGCAGAACCAGAAAGCGCGTGCGAGCCCCAGATGGCACTTCAACTGAAAACTCAAACCTGGCCGAAGACCCAACCATATACAGCTGTGAGCACGCAGCTGTGCGCATCGCTTCCAAAGGAATGCCCTGCGGGGCCACGGCACGTCTGAGAGCCGTGCCGTCATCGGTGCGTGGGACGCATGCGAGAACCGCCATTGGGGCCTTCGGTGGAGTTCCCTATGGGGCCTCCCTCCCCCTCCTGGTGGTGGTGGTGGTCCCCTGGGTGCTGACAGCCGTCCTAACTAGCTCCGCTTCAGTCCTGTGGTCCACCGGCCCTTTTCCCGCTTCGCGCCCGGGTCTTCTGCGGCCCAGGGGCTTCCCAAGGTTTGAACAGCGCTGCGCGCTGTTTTAAACAGCAGCTAGGGCAAAGGCACCCTGCTGCTCTCATTTCTCAGGGGTAACCCGACACGGGCGCGGGGGACGCACGCGAGAACCGCCACTGGGGCATTCGGTGAAGCACTCGCCTTCAACTGGTCCTGGGAGCCAGGCTGGGGCAATCGAGGGCTTCTCCTTCAGGCCGAACTCTTCCTGTCTATGATGCACACCGATGATGCGCTCCAACTGTTCCTGGGGAGGTCCCTCCTGGTGCGTTGAAATGCATGCCAGAAGCCGAATGTTCTCACTGATTGAGACGTCGTCAGCATGTATCCGCTGTTGGCGCACTAGGATCGGCGAGCCCGCACGAGCGATGGTGGCGGTGCGATGCAACTCTGCAAAGGTGGCAAAGATGCAGCTAAAAGGCTAGGGTCACGCGTGGGCTGGATCCGAATCGCAGCCGACAGCGGGTCTTCATAACGTTGCTGCACACACGCCTTGAAATCTCCTTGCGGCCGAGGGTTGGTAGAAATCAACTGCCCTCAGCCTCGCACCGACTTTGCGGAAGATATCGTGCGCATCCGTATCAGTGGAAGGACAGAGTGACGTTTCCTGGACGACTTCTGCGGCACTGCTCGACACGAAGAAGTGCGGGCTGGTCGACGGCTTGGAGAGCATTTCGGCTGCTGCTCGTCCTCATCATCGCCACTACCACCAGCACAATCAGCCTCAGAAATGGTCGTCGACATCGTGATCCACAGTATCATGAGTACACGATGCAACAACATCATGATTACTGTCCCCAAACAGTGTTTGCACTTAGAGGGTCTTACTCCTTTTCAGAGGAACTGGGCCTGCCAATCAGTATGGCGGCTGTGTGGTCGAGGTCGCAGCCTCGTAGCTGCCCGTCTTCTGGGCCTGCCCGTCGGTATGGCGGCAATGTGATCGCCGTCGCCGCCCCGTCGCCGTCTGGGCCTGCATTACTTTGCATTTGTGTTACTTCGCTTCGCAGTGCATTCTATTGATGTGCATGTATGTGCATCACTTCGACCTGCGTTACATTATTGGCCGTGCGTTGCATTGTTCTGCATTGCGATGCATTGCTCTGCGTTGCATTGCTTTGGATTGCGTTGCTCGGCATTGCTGTGCACTGCTTCCCACTGCTGTTCATTACTTTGAATTAGTGTGAGCTGTTGTGCATTGTCGTTGCTGTGCGTTTCTGTGAATTGGTATGAGAGGATGAGCATTGGATTGCTCTGCGTTGTTGCGTTGCGGTGCGTTGCAATGAATTGCAAAATGAATGTGCTGATTTTCGCCGCGCTGCACTACTGCTTATGGGGTTGAACCGCCGTGCACTGCTCCGTAATGCGCTGTAGTGCGGTGCACTGCGTTGCAGTATTTGCGTTGCTTTGCGCCCCATAGATTGCACCACATGGATTGCACCACCTAGATTGCACCACCTTGCCTTCACTACCTATGCTGCACCGCATGGAATGCAAGAGAGCACTGTTTGGGGCCCACGCTGGCTAGCACTAGTTCTCATCAATCCTGGCAGTTAGTTGCATGCTCCACACGAGCATGGTCCTTCCAATACGGGCGACTTGAAAAGGGACGGAAAAGCGGCGCCTTGAATTGCTGGACGACGCCGCTCACCTGGCTGCGACAGACAGTGGGACGGCTCTCCTCCTCCTCCTCCTCACCTTCTGCCTCCTCCAGCTCCGCCTTCTTCTCACCTCCTCACTATCATCGTCCCCCTCCTCCAGCTCCTCTTGCTCCTCCTGCCCTCCTCCTCCTCCTCCTCCTCCTCCTCCTCCTCCTCCTCCTCCTCCTCCCCAGTATCGTTCCTCCGCCGCTCCCCCCCATTCCCTCTCCCAAAAGTGGTGGATAAGAGGAAAAGGAAGAGGAAGAGGAAGAGGAAGAGGAAGGCAGAAGAAAGAACTGGATGCAGGGAAGGGGAGGAAGAGGTCGGTCGATGAGGGCTGTACCCGAAGAGGGGACCTAAGGGGTATCAGGGGCTCTGGGAGGTCACAGTAGTCTTGGAGGGTTCTTCGAGATTCTGAAGGGGTCGGGAGGAGGAGGAGGAGGAGGAGGAGGAGCAGGAGGAGGAGGAGGAGGAGACGAGGAGACGAGGAGGAGGAGGAGGAGGAGGACTCCCTCCTATCACCCTCCCTCCTTGTCTGTCTCCCCCCTCCCTCCACTCCTCGATCCTCTGTCGCTCTCCCCTACCCCTACCCTACCCTATCCCAGACCTTTTCCCCCTCCCTTCCATCCTCCAGGTCCCTACTACTCCCCTCCCATTCTTGTCTCTCCCTCTCTCAATCTCCCCACGCGTACCCCTCCCCTCCGCCCCCAATGACCTCGCCACGCCCTCCACGCCGCCCTTCCCACATAGTTCCTTCCGTCTCTTCCCCTACCCTGCCACTCTCCTCCGTCCCATCCTCTCCGTCGCCCTCTCGCCTACATTTACTCAGCATGAAGACTGCATTACCCTGCCCCGACGACGTGCCAGATCCACCCTAGGTGATGCTCCGCATTTTTTTTTACACTCGGAATGCCTTCGGCCGTTCTGGAGGGCGCCTTGGCATCCGCATGTGAACCCTATCCCTGCGGGTCAGATTCCTCAAACACTGGCAGTGGGTCAGAACAGGAGGGATGTCTGCAGCCAAGTGAACCTCCATAGGAGTGTCTGATACCCCACCCTCGATTGGACCCGCAGGGGTAGGGTTCGTTCGCTAGTGGTCACAGGGCGCTCTCGCCTCGGCGCCTGCCACAATATTTTCTGCCCCCCATCTGCAACTCTCCATGCTGCTCCAAGCATCTCCAGGGCCACCGCTCTGGCGCAACCGGGCAGGGCGCAGGCCGCGGCCCTCCATGAGCTGCAGCACTGGCGGCCCCACCTCCTCCTCCTCCTCCTCCTCCTCCTCCTCCTCCTCCTCCTCCTCCTCCTCCTCTTCCTCTCCTCCTCCTTCCTCCTTCTCCTCCTCCTCTCCTTCCTCCTTCTCCTCCTCCTGTTCCTCCTCTTCCTCCTCCTCCTCCTCCTCCTCTTCCTCCTCCTCCTAATCCTCTTCCTCCTCCTCCTCATCCTCCTCCTCATCCTCCTCTTCCTCCTCCTCTTCCTCATATTAATTTCATTATTAGTGTTATTATCATTGCTACTCATGTCAATAATTATATTTGGTATGTATACTAGTATTGGTAGTACCCCTAATAATTATCGAAGTAAATAGATTACCCCAGTGCGACCCTACCTAGCAGTTGGAGCCCCTAGGAAAGCAGCATTAGTTGCTAGGCTATAGTATGCTATGATATGTTATGCCATGCTATGCTGCGCTATTATATGCTGTGTGATGCTATGATATACTGCGCTATGCTGTGCGATGCTATGTTATGCTAAGCTATGGTTTTGCTGCGCTGTGCTATGCTAAGCTATGATATGCTATGATATGCTATGCCATGCTATGCTGCGCTATGCTATGTTTTGTGATGCTATGGTATAATGCGCTATGCTGTGCGATGCTATGTTATGCTAAGCTATGGTTTTGCTGCGCTGTGCTATGCTAAGCTATGATATGCTATGCTATGCTATGCTATGGTATGCTATGGTATGCTATGCTATGCTATGCTATGATGTGCTATGCTGCGCTGTGCTATGCTGTGCTGTGATGTGCTGCACTGTGCTATGCTATGCTATGCTATGATATGCTGCGCTATGCTATGCTATGCTGGGTTATGCTATGATATGCTATGCTGCGCTATGCTATGCTACGCTTTGCTATGCTATGATGTACTCTGCTATGCTAAAGCTCAGCGAAGCTAAGATGAAGGTAAGCTAAGCTAAGATTATCCTGAGCTAAGATGAAGCTAAGCTAAGATAAGATGAAATAAGCCAAGATAAGATGAGATAAGCAACGCTAAGCTAAGGGAACGTAACTGGGGGAACCGCGGGGCGGATACTGGGGGAACCGCCCGGGCCGGTTCCCACTGCCTGACCCTTTAAGCCAAGAGAGTAAGAACCCTTCTAGGCAGAGCCTAGGTAGAAAATGAATAAATGAATAAATACATAACTTAATGCAAATAAAACTAATAATACGGATACGGATAATCATAGTATTATGATTAGAAAAACACTATTATTACTATTAGTATGCATCGTCTTCTTCTTGCTAGGATCATTCCCCTTTTATTAGTATGATCATGAGTGTTCGCATTATTCTTGTTATTATCAATACAAACCCTAGTAGTGATAGCAGTAGTAAGATTATGATTCGTGTTGCCATTATTATTCATAGTACTCGTTTTCTGCTTATACTTAATATCATTAGTATTATTACTGCTAGTACTAGTAATATGAATGTCGTTGTTATCAGTAGTGGTAGTAATATTCGTAGTATTGTTGGTATTCCGAGTGTTGTGAATAGTATTCATATTGCCATTCTGGCTGATAATATCAGCATATTCGCATTAGTCTTAGACGTGAGTATTCGAAATCGCATTATTATCATTGATACTACTATTCGCGTTATCCTTCTCACTATTCGGAATCGTAGTATTATCATTAGTACTGGTTTTCTTATTATTGTTCGTCGTATAAGTATTGCTTTCGTGCGTATTGTTCGCCTTATTCTTATTATTCCGTATTATCATAAGTCTTAATATTCTTAGTATTCTGAAAATGTCATGTTTATGACGGTGCTTCTTACTATAATAAGTAGTATCATTATTATTCATGTTAATATTATTATTAGTTTGCCTCTCAGTATGATTATCCTTCTTCTTCGTATTATTAGTATTCCTCCTCTTCCTCCTGCTCCTTCTCCTCCTCCTCCTCCTACTCCTCCTCCTATTCCTCCTCCTCCTCCTCCTCGAACTCCTATTCCGACTCCAATTCCAATTCGTCCCTTACCCGTCACATGTTTGCTCTCCTTCTAACTCATCCCCCCCACGCTGCCTATCCCGCCTCTTCCCCCTACCCTACCCCATCTCTCCTTTCTCCCCACGTTCCCTCCCCACCCTCCCCCTCTCCCCCCACCCCCCTCTCCCTCTCTATCTTTGTTTTTCCTCTCTCTCTCTCTCTCTCTCTCTCTTTTTCTTTCTATACATATATATATACCTCTCTTTCTCTCTCTCTCTCTCTCTCTCTCTCTTTCTGTCCACATCATGCCACGCTACTCCTCTCTCCCATCCCCATCCCCATCCCCTTTTCCGTCTCAGTCTCCCCGTTCCAAGAATGCCTCCCTCTACTGTCACGTCCCGAGCCCATTCCTCACATTGGCATGCACGCCTCGCGGGAACAGACGTTGCACTGGTACGTCCCGACCAGCAGTTCCGGCTTCATCTCGGTGGTCCTGGGCTCGGCATCGAAGGTCGCGGGGCCGACTGGGAGCGGGCTAGTCTGGAGGAAAAAGAAGACAGGGAAGAGGCGGGGAGCGGAGGCGGAAACGGGAGGGGAGAGCGGGCCCGGGGGGGGGGTCGGGTGCGAGGGGGGGGAGGGGAGGAGCGAAGGGACAGGGACGGGGGCCAGGGCAGGGGGAGGCGGAGGGCGACAGGGATAGGGGGGGAATGGAGATGGGCGGGGAAACCTGGAGGGGGGAAGAAGGGGGGCAGGACCCTTGCGGCGCAAGCTCGAAAGCCATTGACGCGTTCAGTTTACTCTAGCGCATATGAAACACACGCGTGGGTGGTCAAAACCCGCCGACCTCCGCTTGCCGGGGATGAGAAGGCGTGTGCGACATGTGGCCGTCCCCCTCCCCCATTACCAAAGCAAATATCCGTCATGACGGTGTGTGCTATGACTACTGCTACCTTCTGAGGCCATATCGGGATACTCTTGGGACTCTTTTTGTCGGACTGCATGGACTTCCTCTCCAAGGCCCCTCTCAAAGGCCTCTTGGAGGCGTAATGCCTAGTCGGCATGGGCCTCATCGTCATCACCAGCATCCTCATTGCCATCCTCAGCCTCAGGATCCCCCTCTTCCCCTCTTCCCTCCCTCCGCCTCCTCATCCTCCTCTTTCTCCCTCGCTCCCGCTCCTGAAGGAAGACAATGACAGAGCGAGAAAGCCCGAGAGAGCGAGAGAGAAAAACAAAAACAAAAAAAAACATGGCGGGAGTCTGCAGCAGATTCCCGTCATGACGTCGCGAGCTCTGATTCCTGTTGCCGCGGGAACCGTTAGATCGTGAACGTCTCCAGTCGAGAAAAAAGGCCGCCAGGGAAGTCTTCGGCCTGCAACGCCCGCCAGTTCCTCTCGGGGGCCTCTAGGGGATCATCGGGGCTGACCTCTTGTGGGGTCTTTTGGAAACTCTTGGGGGCAGTGTAATTCGTGACCCCTCGGCAGGCGTGGGAGTTCTCCACTGGCGCTGAAGAGCTTCCTTAGCCTTCTGGCGCTGCCTGGGCCCTCTTGGGAGCCTCTCCTCCTCCTCCTCCTCCTCCTCCTCCTCCTCCTCCTCCTCCTCCTCCTCCTCCTCATCATCATCATCATCATCATCATCATCATCAGCATCATCATCATCATCATCATCATCATCATCATCATCATCATCATCATCATCATCATCATCATCATCATCATCATCATCATCATCATCATCATCATCATCATCATCATCATCATCATCATCAGCATCATCAGCATCATCATCATCATCATCATCATCATCATCATCATCATCATCATCATCATCATCATCATCATCATCATCATCATCATCATCATCATCATCATCATCATCAGCATCAGCATCAGCATCAGCATCATCATCATCATCATCATCATCATCATCATCATCAGCATCAGCATCATCATCAGCATCAGCATCAGCATCATCATCATCATCATCATCATCATCGTCATCGTCATCGTCATCATCAGCATCATCATCAGCAGCATCATCATCAGCAGCAGCAGCATCGTCATCATCATCCCTTCTACCACTACCACCACCACCACCATCAATTTCATCATCATCACCACCACCATCATCAACAATAACATCAGCATCAGCAACATCATCATCAGCAGCAGCATCACCATTATCACCACCACAATCACCACCATCGTCATCATCGTCATCATCATCAGCATCATCATCATCGTCGTCGTCATCAGCATCATCATAATCGTAACCATCCTCGTCGTCATCAGAATCACAATCATCAGCATCATCAGGGTCATCGTCATCAGCATCATTAATTTCATCAGCATCATCATCAGCATCACCACCATCTTCATCAGCATCATCATCACCATCAGTGTACATCATCATCCGCATCATTGTCAGTGTCGTTGTCATCGTCATCATCATCAGTAGCATCATCATCATCAACATCATCATCATCACCACCATCATCATATAACCAGCCTCGAACTTCCCCCTACCCCTAACATTGACAAGCTAACAAGCCATAACCATATGACCGATGTGCCATCAGAAACTGAGGAGATCCTGAAGGTTGGCATCGAGATGGTGCGAGGCCAATCATAGGGATAGGGATATGTTTCAGGCTGGTAAGCATCATCCTCGCCCTCGTCCCCGCCCTGGTCCTCATCCTTCCTCCCTGACTCCTCCCTCCCGTCCTTCGCTCCCTGCCCTCCGCATCCCTGCCCTCCCTGACCTCCCTCCCTCTCTACCCTCCCGCCCCGCTTCGCCCCACGAGCTCTGAGGCCATGAAACGCACGTCGCGATCGCGGCCCAGACCGGCACGACGGTCTCGCCGAGCCTGCTCGAGGCGTCGTCGAGGGCTGCGCTGGTCCGAGGCGCCGTCGGGGACGAGAACCGCGCGCGCGCGTGCGCTCGCGGCGACAGCCTGCTCGCGGGGACCGAGCGTCGCCGAGATGCCAGGGCTGCTCCCTCTCTCGCTCTCCCGCCTGGCCAGCCAGACCCCGTCCTCGTGACCGTGCCGCACACCGTCACGAGCTTGCCGAGCTGGTCGGTGCGCAGATCCCGGATCCCGCTGTGGGTGCCCATGTTCCTCGGGCGCCCAGCGAGCGAGCGAGGCGTCTGCTCTGGGGACACATGGCATGGCGCGTGCGCCCGCGCCTGTCTGGGCAGGATGTAAGAATGACACTGGCGCAGTGGGTACACACAGCATAAATCATGAAGCACATGGCGCATGAGAGATGCATCGGTAAGAGACCAAGCACGCGGACACCTCCGGCGTAGGCGCAAGCACTGAGAAAACACCGTGCGCGCCTCTATAGATAGATATATATATATATATCTCATGACGAAAATAGATATACGCAGATAGAAAATAATATACATATACATATACACATATACATATAGATACATATACACATACATATATACATATATATATATATATATATTATAAAGGTACCAGATACCTATATATATATATATATACATATATTCACCACCACACATTCAGTTCGCATCGGTTTGTAAGCCCTCCATCCGTACTCTTACTGATCATCCGCCTTCTTGTCATCCCTGCCTGCTCATCCATCTTTCCTATGCGTAATGTATCCGCTGCTTTCTCGTGCTGGAATCGACTTGGAATTAGCTGGATCTGGGATCTGTGCAATTCTGGGATCTGCGCAATTCAGGTTAGATTCTAATGAGATGTCAAAAAGAATGTGTCAAGTTTGAGCCAGCTGAATCTATGATCCACTCCACCCCAATTCGATTCAAAGTAAACCCCACTAGGGATCTAATTGGAATCAGCTGGATCTGGGACCTGCTCAATCTTAAATAGATTCTCGTTCGACTACAAAAAATTGAATTGGAATGAACTGGATCTGGGATAGGCCCAATTCGAAGTCGATTCATTTTCGATTACAATAGGACTCAAACTGAAAACAGCTGCATCTGGGATCTATTGCATTCCAAGTGGATCCGAATTCGATTCCACTAGGAATCAAACTGGAATCAGCTGGATCTAGGACCTGCCTAATTCCAGTTACATTATGAATAGGTATCAGTAGGAAACTGTTTGAAATCAACTGGATCTGTGATCTGCTCGATTCCAATTAGATTATGATTAAAGTCAAACAGGAGTATCAACTAGAGTCAGCTGGATCTGGTATGTGCCCAATTCCAAGTACTATGTTGTATGATGACGGGAGGAAAAAAACAAAAACAACAAAACGTATTAAACAAAATCCTGGACAACTCCCCATACAACCCCTCCAAGATGGAGACCACAAGTGCCCTAGCATGTAGGTGTGGCCAACGCTTGAGCGGGAGCACCGTTCCCTACCAGGGATGTGGCCTGCGCACTGGAGAGAGCACCTTTTTCAATCAGGGATGTAGCTGGCGCTCAGGCGAGAGCAACATCCAGTGCTCGAGCGACAGGTCACTTCCCAATCGAGAGTGTAGTCACCGCTCAGGGGACAGCACCACTCCCGTTCAGTGATATGGCCGGCGCTCCATCGACAACACCAGTCGCCACCTTCCCCCCGATTCCATGGGAGTCCTGTGTCTGCTCATCCTTGGGTCAGGGCACCTTTGTGCACAGAGTTCCGAGGTTGTCTCAGGCAAAACTGGCTGGACAACCTCGCGCTCAGCATCTCAGAAGCCATAGTTTCGAGGATGTCTCAGGCGAGACTGGCTGGACAACCTCAGGTCAGGACATGCAATCCCAGAACTCAGAGTTGCGAGGATGTCGCAGGGGGAAGTGGACAGACGCAAGGGATGGAGGAGAAGGCTGAAGGCTGCAGAATGAGGAGGCCCAAGAGAGGGCTTGGGTAGGATTGCGCCTGGACAATGCCCAGACAAATCCCCGGACAACCCAGTTGACAACACCCCAGACAATCCCCTCGAGAATCGGACGTGCAGGGGAAAAGCCTGGTCCTTGTACTGGGGGTCGCTGGTGGCTCTCTTCTTTCGGACCACCTGAGGTCAGGGCATCTCTGAGACCAAGGTTGCGAGAACGGACAACCTCGTGGGCTGCATCTCCGAACCCAGACGTTCAAGGATATCGCAGGCGAAACCGGGCGGAACACCTCAGATCTGGGCATGCGTAAGCCCAGCGTTACGAGGATGTCTCAAGCGATACTGAACAGACAGCCTACTCATTTTGAGCATGTCTCTGTGCGCTGGTCCCGCGGCTGGAACGAGCTTCTACAACTACAAACCTCCAGCCAGCCACGCTTCGTGGGGAACAACGATCCATGAGGATGTGCGAGCGGGAGCGGGAGGACGCGAGAGGAGGAACGAACATGAAGGGAAAGAGGAGAGAGGCGCCCTTTCCAACTGGGTTTGACTGGCTGTGCCATGCTTCTGATGATATGGATGATTAAGGCATGTGCGTGCGCTGGCAAACCGGCACGGCCTGGACAACCACTTGGACAACCCCGCGAGTAACCGGACCACCGCCCCCAGGACAACCCCCCTGGACAATCCTCACAGGAGTTCTTTTCAACATAGCAAGTTCGAATTACATTCCAATAGGAATCAAACTAGAATCGGCTGCATCTGGGGTCCGCTCCATTCCAATAAGATTCAACTAGGAATACACGTGGAATCAGCTGGGCCTGGGACCTGCCCAATTCCAATTAGATTCGAACTAGATCCCAGTTGCAACCAAACTGGAATCCGCTGGATCTGGGTTTGCCCCATTCCAATTCGATCCACATTTTGATTCCAATGGAATATACAAGTAATCAGCTGGATCTGGGATCTGCGTAATTCTTATGACATTCTAATGAGATAAAACTCAACCTGGAACCAGCTGGATCTGGGTTCAGTTCCACCCCAAGTAGATCAAATCGAATTGGAATCAGATAGATGTGGGGTCCATCAGAACATACTTGAAGACAGCTGGATATGGAATATGCTCAATTATAATTAGGTTCTATTCGGATCCAAAAAGAATTTCATTTGAATCAGCTGAATCTGGGCTTCGCTCCGACCCAATTAGATTTCAAATGAATTACACTAGGGATATACTTGTAATAAGCTGGACATGGAATATGCCTCTCTTTTGAAAATACCTATATTTGTGTTTCTCTCTCTATCCCTCTGTTGGTCTCTATATATATATATATATGTGTAAATGTATATGTTATCTCACTGCATTTGTATATACATATCTCGTTCTCTCTCTCTCTCTCTGTCTCTCGCTCTCGCTCTCGTTCTCTAGTTATCTCTCTCTCTCTCGCTCTCTCTCACTCTCTCTCTCTCTCTCACTCTTTCTCTCGGCTCTCTATAGATAATTAGATCTGTAGGGAGAGAGAGAAACAAAAAGATAGAGAGAGAGAGAGATCTGTGTGTTTCTCTCTCTCTCTCTCTCTTTACCTCTCTTCTTTTTCCAACACCCAACATACTCCCTGTGAAAACACCAGGTTTGCGATGTCCAGAGTGCGGGAGCCCTGTGTTTTAATTCCGAGGTTTGGGATCTCAGTGATGAGAGGTCAGGAAACCATGTGTTTTCAATTGGATGTTTGGGATGCTGGGGACTTTCCTCTCTCACACACGCACACACACACCTCCAGCGAAAATCAAACCCAGGCGCCCTCCCAGGAGCTTCGATCCCCAGAATCCCAAACATCTAAATGGAAACACATGGCTTCCTCACTTTCCCTCCCAGCAACCCCATAAATCCAAATGAGAACACAAGGTTTGCGATGTCAGGGTTGCAGAAACCATGTGTTTATCTTTATGATTCTGGGGATCTGAGCTCCTAGCTCCTGGGAGGGCTCCTGGATTTGACTTTCGCTGGAGGGAAGAAAATCCAGAAAATCCAAACAAACAAAAACGACACGATATAGTTTCCACATTTAACATCTCTGATATCCAAAGAATCCAAATTAAATCACAAGGCTTGAGCAACCCTCACACCACAAGCCTTCTGTTTCCAAAGGGATTGCGTTGGGTGTCTGTGAGAGGGATAGAAACAAAGATAAAGAAAGAATGAGAAAGAGAAAGAGAAAGACAGACAGAGAGAGGAAATCAAAACAATAAAAAAGAGAGAAGGAGAGACCGAGAGAAAAGATATAGAGAAAGGTAAAAAAGAGAGAGAGAGGTGGAGAGGAAAAAAAAAAAAAAAAAAAAAAAAAAAAAAAAAAAAAAACGAGAGGCAGAGAGAGAAGAGATATGTAAGCACATAGAGATAAACGAAAACAGAAGAGAAAAAAAAAAAAAAAAAAAAAAAAAAAAAAAAAAAAAAAAAAAAAAAAAAAAAAAAAAAAAAAAAAAACGAGGAGGAAAGGAGGAGCACCACAGTCGTAAGTGAATACCGGTCAGAGTGGGTGCTGGGGGGGTGGGGAGCTGTCTGTGCATAGCGTGTGTATAAAAATATATATTCATACAACCGTACATGCATATGAAAAAAATGTATATGTAGACGTAGGTGTGTATGTAAACACATGCACACATCTGTGTGTACATATACATGTGTACGCAAGCGTGTATGCAGTGTACATGACATACGGTGTACTGGTATAATCTGCCCGTGACACAAACACACACACACTCTCGATCGTCGAGGGCGGGAGCGCCTCCTCACCGCCCCGCCCGCGCGCGAAGCTCCGCGCGAGAGCCCAGCGGCGGAGCAGACGAAAGACAAGAACGAACCGGCTGGCCCCTCACGGGGCAGCTTCCGGGGGCGGCGCATAGGGCGCCGGGGAAGCGGGCGGCGGGCAGGCGCGCCGGGGCGGCGGCAGCGGGGCGAGGGGGCGACCACGGCGCGGGCTCTGGGCAGCCGTGAGCGGGGCGGGACGGGGCATGGGCAGCAGCAGCGGGCCGCCCGGCAGCGTCAGCGGCAGCGGGAAAGTGGAAGCCCAACGAACTGGCAGCGGAGGAAAAAAACGAAGCCGCACCGAAATGGAGTGGGCAAGGCGGCGGCGGGGAGGTCGGGCAGCGGGCGGCCACGCCAGAGCGAGGCGTGGCAGGCGGCGCCCGCAGGCGGCGGGGCAGAACAGGGGGCGTTCGCGGAGCGCCGAGACCGGCGGACCCGGCCAGGCGGGGCAGAGCGGGGGCGGGGCGGCGGAAAAGCAGGCGGCG